TGGGAATTTAGCTCAGTGGTTTCGCCGCCTTCTGGGCAAGCGCAAGGACCCGAGTTTGACCCCTGGTACCAAAAAATCCAAAAAAGAAATCAGAATCTACAATGGGTATTAGGACTAGAACTTAAACTCTATTTCCATTATTAATGGATAAGTTTGCATTGCTTCATGACAAGTACGAGGACTTGCACAAGTCAGCTGTCCACCTGTTCGGGTGGGTGCGGCCAGCCGGAATCCACACGAGTATCCAGAGCACAGACGGCATCCGGGAATCAGACAGACACCTCATGGCAGCCCAGGGCTTCCCCCCAGGTGCCCACAGCCGAGACCCTTCCTGGCCCTCCCTCTGGAAATGCTGCCGAACCCCTAGCCAGGAAGAGGACCCTGTGACCTGGCCTGACCTGACCGGAGCTGCTGACCAGCTCTCAGGTCAGAGTGACTCAGAGCTGGGTGGAATGAGGACTAGGGACCAACTGAAGGGCTGCTTGGAGCTGGGGGCTCTATGCTGTTTCTCCAAGATGGGTCTCAGGCACTTGGGCTTTCCCATGTGCTGTGGCTAAGAAATAAAGGAAGCAGGGACAAAAATATGTCCCTGACCATTCTTAATGATCTGTGTGCAGTGGTTTGACCACAGCTTTGACAAGAAACACAAAACCTGATTTCACAACTAACAAACAACATCCGGCACAACACCTTCCTATAAAGCACTGCAATGACGGACCTGAGGTCGAAAGCCCACATCCCCACTGCTGACGGTTGGGAATTATGCTGAAGAGTAAGCACAAACCACTGTTTTGTTTTTTCGAAAGGACTTTAATGACTTTAGCTCACAAAGACTGAAAAGTTCAAGTATAGTCATACTTTGTTTTTAGTGGATTGCTGTATAATGAAAATTAAATGAACTAAATGCTGTGAATAGTACTGTATATATTTTTAAACAGCTTTAAACTAGGCAAGTGTATAATTAGAAAGCCGTGACTTGAAAGTCACGAAGTAAAAATGAGCCATCTGCCCATGGCATGTCAGACAGGACCAGCACAGGAGGGAGTGTGCAGAGGAAGCCTGGGACACTGCCTGCTCCTGGCAGTCCAGAGGGGCCCCGGGGACCCTTCCCAGCAGCAGGGGGAAGGCTGGCTCGGGTGTTGCCAGATTGAGGACAATCTGTAATGACTCATTTTCTGGAGGCTACTGTGATTCTCAAGATCAAAACACACCGCAGAGAAAATAAGACATGGGCTTCATGAGAACACCGTCTGGTGACAGAAGAACCTGGAAGTGTTGGTCGGTGGCAGAATCCACGACTGCCTTTGTGGACTGTGCTCAATGCCCACACCTAGGTCTCAGCAGGGCTTTGAATGGACACAGTGTTACGGGGCTGTCTTTTGCTTTTGAAAGAAAGTATCCGAATCTCTAAAGAAAAGTACAGAGGTCCCAGCCAGACACTAAGCTGAGCGAGAAGAGAGGCCACCCTGTGTGCTCCCTCACCCTCTGCAGCACCAAGCAAGCTTTCCAGGTCAGAAGGACGCAGGACGTCCCGGCCCCAGGGATGCGGTAAGATCCTGGCCCTGGCTGCCCGCTCCGGCTCCACAGTTGTGGGGGCTGCCGGGCTGCAGAGACCTCTGCTTTGCTGTTTTAACAACACCCACTCAGGGCTCTCACTAGGGCCTTTGTTGTGCTACCGCAGGACCAAAGCTGGAATGAGCCCTTCCTGCTGACTAAAATGTATCTGTCCAACTGGGTATTTCTAAAATGAGAAGTGAGGGCCATCTGATGGCAACCAAAAGGCTGTGGAATTAAATTTTTACAGCAAAGAAGCAACTCTCAGTTGCTGCATATACACTGGTCATAAACATGCTTGCTTGCTTGCTCAGACTTCTTTCCCATGTGTTACAATATTGATATTTAATAGGAAAATAAACCACATAGACTTTATATGCATCCATTTGCAAATTTCCTTATAAAAGAGGACAAGGCTGCACATAGGCATTCACAAATTCTATGCCATTTGTTAAAATTGGTGTTATCTATTCATTATATTACAGTATTAACAATTCTTTGTTCTACCCATTGGGTAGGATATGTGTATAATATATTCAACATATATACAGCACCTTACAAGTGAGAAATGACAGACACTGGGGAAGCACCATCGTCAGTGAGGCACAACTGGGGTGGTGGGGAGAGGTGGCAGCAGGCCTCAGTTCCAGCGGGGCACAGGGCATGGGAGGGGGCAGTTCTGGGTCACACAGCATAGAGCTCATGCCGAGGGGCGGCGCAGGAAGACACCAACTCAGAGCCAACAGCTTCGGGCGTTAAATGCCACCCGGGTTCCTAGCAGAGGTGGCTGTCGGTGGCTAGGCCACACCCCTGCTCTCCGCCTGCTCTGGCGCAGGCAGGAAGCCTTCGAGGCAATGGCCAACCAGGGGCACCACACCACTGGGAGCCCCGCTGTGCCATGGGGACCAGGCCAAGTTCCCAACGGGACTGGGGTCACGCATCAGACATGGATCCTCACACCAGAGGGACGCTTCTCCCCGGCCAGTGTGCTGCCCGCAGCAGAGCTTTTCCTGGGAAGGTGGAGGATGTGGCCTTCACACCAGCTGGCAGGGCACTGGTGACCCAGCAGGGCCCACGCTCAGGCTCCTGTCACAGCCCCAATCACTTGGACAAGCACGAGCATGGAAAGGCGACAGAAGCAAGCACTCCCCTCCCCACGGTCTTCCCTCACTCAACTGTGCTTTGGACACCTTATGGAAAGGGAACAGCACAGAAACAGAATTGATGCTGCTGCTCGATGCTCCACAGCATGTTTGGGAAGCACTTGGCCGGGGCACTTCCAGAGACACCAAGTGGGCCCCCCCCCGGGGGGGGCAGTCCCAGGGTCCAAGATGCGATGGTTTTTCCTGTTCAAGCAGTCCTGGAAATGCTTCCCTTTGAGTGGCTCGTTCTTAGGGAGGTGAAACTCAAATGGCTCAGGGGCCACTCAGCAGCTGGGGCCCCACACAGCAGCCCCCCCATCCCTACTGCTCCCAGCTTCCCCTGCTGCCCACGTGTCACAAAAAGTGGAGGGGGGAAGTACTTTATCTAAGGGACAGGGACAGAAAACAGACCCTCTTTCTAGATGCAGGATTGGGCTCAGAACCTCACACCGAGTCAGCCTCACAGTTGGGAAAAGCTCCCTACAGATGGGGCTCCGTGTGCCTCTGCGTCACAGCTCTGCAAGACTGGTCAAGCGCAAGTGGCCAACATCCTCACAACCATTCTCTGATACTGCCCCTCACATGCCTGCTCCACGGAGCGAAACGGACTGTAAACCTGCCACGCTGCCCACACCTCTGTTCTAAACCAGCCCAGGTCGGGAGCACAACTCCTGTCACACTAGGAGAGAGGGCATCAAGCTGGCCACACCCCAGAGAGCTACCACTGGAAATGACCTCCTCCCATGGGGAAGGGTGACCAGGAGTCCAACTACTGCAAGACAGAGGCCCAGCCTCAGAAACCTTTCCAGGCCACGGCTGTCTTAAAACAACTAATGATCCACGAGGCAATGGCCTGTCTGAGCTACCTGCATAGGGAGGACGTCTCCTTGGAGACTATAAAAGTGACTTGAATTAAATCATTGTTTACTTCAGGCATCCACAAAATGTTTGTGGATTGCAGAGTTAGGGAGAACTCCAGGTCTCTGCCTCACTCTCAGCAGGGAGCCTGGTGAGGATGCAGGACAGCGAGGGCAGAGTCCCTGCCCCCTACCTGCAGGGAGGACAGGGTGGAGAGGACCTTACCTGTGTACCAGGGACACCAACCATCTCCCAGCCACTTCCCTGTCTGGGGCCCTCAGGGGCCAGCAACCTCCCAGGGTGCCCAGGACGGCGGAAGGATCTCTGCCAGGAGATGCAGGACCAAACTCTGCCTCAGTTTCCCTCACCCAGAGCCCCGCTAAGCAGCATCTCAGCCCAAGCCGGCATTGCTCCTCTGTTCCCCTTCTCCAACCAGTCAGCTCTAGCTTCAGATGCTGCTGTGTGCATGTGGGAATCTCATGGCGATTCCAAGCCTGCTGCCAGGATACGACCAGGACTAAAGATGCGGACAGGCAGGACCGGCCCCAGCCAGCCCCTGAGGTGGACGATGGTGATAGCTGCGGACCAGGCGGAAGGTGCAAGGGCTGCATCGCCGGGCCAGCGCCCAGCCTCCCCCGGGCTCCGGTGTCCTGCGCGGAGCTGCAGAGGGCTGGCCAGCCCGCCCCTGGGCAGGCTCTGCAGACGAGCTACTGCCCAAAGCAGTGCTCACACCTGCAGGAGGTTGTTTTCCACTGGAAGTGACAATGAATGTTTCAAACGTCAGGAATATCAAAACAAAGATCCCCACAGTTAGTCGCTTGCACCTGCAGTGTGTGGTAAACCTCTGGCTGATGCTGGCCTGGCTGCCACCCCTCGCTGCAGCTGGCTCTCTGGTTCCCTCCCTCCACAGAGCCCACAGCGGCAGAGTGAGCCCCCTGGGCAGGTCCACCGGATTACGGAGCTGCTGGCCCGCCTTGCAGCCAGGCCCTCCGCAGCTTCCGCCGCGCTCGCGCTCAGCACCGCGGGTCTCAACAGTGACTGCACAAAGGGAAGCATCTGAACAGCAGCCAAGCTGCTCCAGAAGCGGCGCTGCCTGAGGACTAGGGCGCGGGGACCCGGGCGCACTGAGCGACCTGTGCCTGGCAGGGGGATGCGGGGACTGGGGATCCTGTCTGCCACCCCGAGCCAGGCCAGCGATGTGCTCTGTCTGATGCAAATTCTATGCAGTGATCTCTTCCGGCGTAGGCGACTCATTGGAAAAGCGCGTCCCAGCGGCTGGCGGGGGGGGGG